AAATCACTGATGTCCGAACAACTGGGTCTACCTAAATGGTTCCTGCTACATGTTCTCCTCTACGCCACTCAATTGGCACTCAGCCAAAGCAGCATGTCAAGGATTGGGATCCGATCTTGTGTCTATCAATTCACAAGCTGAATATCAAGCACTTGTCCCAAAGACAATTCGGATTACATACTGGATTGGTTTGTACAGGGATCCTACGAATAAGTCCCACTGGCTGTGGGTAGATGGATCCCGTGCAAACTTCACAGCTTGGAGAGCTGGCGAACCTAATAACTGGTTGGGAACGGCAGAGGATTGTGCAGAAATGTATGTAACATGGAACGACCTGGCATGCACATATACGGCTCCTTACATCTGCGAAACTAAACCAAGTAGGTGAAGATTCTTTAATACATCTTATATCGTATTTGCGAGAAAAATATGGTCAAACTGTTGCTAGAGGGTTAACAGGCTCGCGAACATCAGAGTCTATATTGCTAGGTATCGTTGTCAGTTGTATTTCAACCATCGTACTTCTAGGCCTCATAAAACAGAAAAAATTTTCATGAGCCCTCCTGAAACATAGGAGTAACGTTTCCATATGCTGACTGTGAAGTTCGCGAATAGTTCATTAGACTTTTCAACCTGAAGATCATCTTCCATACTGAAGAGCATCTAAACTTGTCATTTTTCAAAGCAGTTTCGATAATGATTATAGAAACCGCAGAAAGCAAACTTTGGTATTAATTTGTTCTTTGAACCCTCTTCTACAAAATTCATATGGTAGAAAATAGCTAGAGAAACTTAGGTGTAAGTAAGCGATTTATAGCCATTTTCTCCATTTTTTTTTGCTCTCTTTTCTTGGAGGACCGTTAAAATTTACCGCAGATGGACCTAAAAAGTACCCGAATGTGTCGCGGCATTCTGAGCGATGTCCTTACATCTGCGAAACTAGCCCAAGTAGGTGAAGGTTATTTAATACATCTTATATCGTATTTGCGAGAAAAATATGGTCAAACTGTTGCTAGAGGGTTAACAGGCTCGCGAACATCAGAGTCTATATTGCTAGGTATCGTTGTCAGTTGTATTTCAACCATCGTACTTCTAGGCCTCATAAAACAGAAAAAATTTTCATGAGCCCTCCTGAAACATAGGAGTAACGTTTCCATATGCTGACTGTGAAGTTCGCGAATAGTTCATTAGACTTTTCAACCTGAAGATCATCTTCCATACTGAAGAGCATCTAAACTTGTCATTTTTCAAAGCAGTTTCGATAATGATTATAGAAACCGCAGAAAGCAAACTTTGGTATTAATTTGTTCTTTGAACCCTCTTCTACAAAATTCATATGGTAGAAAATAGCTAGAGAAACTTAGGTGTAAGTAAGCGATTTATAGCCATTTTCTCCATTTTTTTTTGCTCTCTTTTCTTGGAGGACCGTTAAAATTTACCGCAGATGGACCTAAAAAGTACCCGAATGTGTCGCGGCATTCTGAGCGATGTCCTTACATCTGCGAAACTAGCCCAAGTAGGTGAAGGTTATTTAATACATCTTATATCGTATTTGCGAGAAAAATATGGTCAAACTGTTGTTACAAGGGTTAACAGGCTCGCGAACATCAGAGTCCGTATTTCTAGGTATCGTTGTTATTTGTATTTCAATCAGCATTGCAAAGAAAACAATGTGCTTCCATCGAGTTTAAGATTTCGGCCTCTTGTGCGGAGTGCTAAGGGATACAAATTCACGGTCCGCACTGGTTTTTCTTTTCTAAGTTGCGAATAGATAAATGCCACAGTTCTATGGTTGCGTGCGTTTTCTCTCGTTCACACACTGAACTCTCTGCTTTGATAAACAAGTCCGAAACCTCCTGGGTCGAGGAGTTCAGACGTTTATCAAACAGAGTGAGAAATACGACAGAAAACTCTTCCATTTACTCAGTAAGAGGTCCACTGGTGATTCAGGCTCATTTCTGAAAGATAAATGGGTCTTAAACCTTTCTTTAAAGAAGCTATCCGCGCTGGAACGGAGTGGTCTAGAGAAGGTCTAAAGTTTGCTATTGCTCTTAGCAAAATACCGACTGCTGAAATCGTCGCCGTTGTAGAAGAGAGCATTTCTCAACTCAACAACGACCATAAGCTCACAATTGCGTC